TAGTGTTGTAACTTATGAGTTCTTCTCTTGAGTAGGAGAACCCAGATACGCAATTTACACACAAAAACTGAACAATAACAGCGCACCAAAGTACCAAGGCAGCCGTCTGCCGCCCTATCTTGGAATCCAACTGTATCCAATTTTAGCTTTACGGAAGATACCAAACTAACGTTATGTTAAACAGTTTATTTCCCCATTACCCAGTCAACCGTTCCATTTAGTGAAGTGGACCCACACTTTAGAGCTCTTCCTGTGTGCCATGTGGCTTGCTCTGTTTACAGCTTGCCCGCAGCGACTGACAACATTCCGCTATTGTGCCGGCACTGCTGTCTATCTTGCCAAATCGCTGTCTTGCAAGTTCTTGTTATGAAGGACAGGTACCAAAACAAGGCACCGTTTCATATGCCGTGAATCGGTACTCATTCGGTTATATGGAGTTCAGTCTGTGCCTTAAAAAGTACCAAATTCGGTACCAATCCCAAGTTGGATACATGTTTTTTTTAACCCTCCCACTGTCTATGGGTGACTCAGAGAGGAAAGTTAACCATTGAGCAGGATTGAAGGTTTATCCCTTGAGGTCCATGTGGCAGGGGTGAGGTGGTGCTCACTCCTCACCCTGCCACATGGGATGGACCATCAACGCTGCTCAATGGTCAACTTTCCTCACGGGGTCACACCCATAAGGACAGTGGGAGGGTTAATAAAGAATTATGGAGCAATGCAATGCATGACTACAGGCTTATCTTTCCTAGAGTTACCACAAGGACCAAATTGGTGTGCCACCCCAACATTTTCTTTGGCCCCTTCTGGCCACCCGTATCACCATTTTCTGGGCACCCCTGGGTTTATGCTTTCCAGTGCATCAAGGGATGCTCAGACCTCTACATCAGAGAAACAAAACAGCAGCTATAAAAAAGGATGGCATAACAGAGAAGGGCCAATGCTTCAGGCCAAGACTCAGCAGTCCATCTGCACCTCACGGATAAAGGTCACTCGTTTGAAGAAATTAATGGAAACTAGGGCTGCCACAAACTATTTTAATAATCGACTAATTATCAGTTTTGTGACGATTAGTCAACTAATCATGTCATTCATAAAAGTTTAGCTAATTGCACCAGGATGCTCTAATGTACCATCATTAGGTTCTAGTCTGAAGTGTGATCAGCTATGTGCCATCTAGTCATAAAGACAAGATGATAACTTATCAAACAACTTTTAATTAACTTTAATTAACTTTGTAATACATTGTTAATACAAATGCTACAGTCGGATTGAGGTAGGCTCCTAAAACCAAAAATGACTTGTTTACAAGAGGCATGGTGGCAAGGTTGAAGCTCTTCATCTTCCAATCTTAACTCAGGAAAAGGCAGGACACGCCAAGGAATGCCTCTGTAGCACGGCTGGTCCACACGTCAGCAGTCAGGGACCATCGACAGCTCTGAGTGTCTGCTTTACCGTAAAGATAAAAGATATTAAAGTTATCTTTTGTACATTCTTGCTGTGTTTGTCTTCAAATTCTGTTCTTTTTTTAAACACAGAAAGGTTTTTCTTTACCTTGCTGCCATTTCATTTGCAGCTGCAAACTTCCTCAGGCTGATGCTGATGGTGGCGTCACTTCATTCTCCGTTTATCCGCGGGCAGCAGAGGACGTTGTCGCCCTCTACTGCCCGCTCTCCCCTCTCCGATGATGCAGTCCCATGCGCGGTCTAACGTGTAAACTCCGTCGTCCCTGTTCATGGTCCCACATCCACGTCTCCTTATCTCGATAGCTTCTTTTATCCATCTTTTGTATTTCTGTTGTTCGGTGTTTATGATCCTTGTGTTGTCCCAGTCCATTACATGGTTTTCCCTTGTGCAGTGATCTGTTACGGCTGACTTCTTTCTTGTGCTTTCTGCTTCTTGTTTTGCTGCTCTTGTGTGTTTTTGACTTGTGTCTTTCTCACACTCCTTTCTATGTCCTATTGTTCATGTGTTGAGTTGGCATAAACACACCAACAAAACCATACACAACAGTTAGAAACAGACTAGTGCACCCAAAAGATACCAGCTGGACATAAATGTGGAGTCATTTACAAAATCCCATACAAACTCTGCAATAAAACGTACACAGGAGAAACGGGACGCCAACTCAACACACGAACAATAGAACATAGCTTGCTGAGGTGTGCACGTAACAACTTGTCCATTGAAGAGGAGCACTGTTATTAAAACTGTAACGTAATGGGATGAAATACATCATTAGTGTTTGTAATTAGTGCAAAAATTTGTGACATACAAACATGTTCTAAAGTTAATAAAATCTCATAACTTGCTGATAAATTCTGTTGGTTTATTTTCGAAGCAGAGGGACTGTCTGATGCTCATCTCCTGAATTTTGCAGAAAATCACATTCATGCTTCTTTTAAAAAAAATATTTCAACAGATTGTCACAATAAAAATATGTTTATGTCAAGGTCAGAGGTCACTACAAAACCCAATTTTAATAGATACAAATCTGAAGCCCACGAGAACATTGTCCTTGGCGCAAAAATGTCCTGCGGGACTCCCGTCTGCCTGTTTAACAGGTGTGGCTCAAACACTGGTCACTGACTAGTAGTTGATTTGTCACTGTAAGTGACATCACCAGCGCCAAACATCATCTTGCAATGCACAGCCGCGAGCCGCCACATTTGACAACATGGACAGAAAAACAATGAGTTGGAGGAGCGAATGAAGCTGAAAAATGCCCGCATCACCACGAAAACGCTGTCAGGGAAGTCTGAAGTTGTACAGTTTTCTGGGAGCTAGCAGGGATGGAGTGGAAATACCTTACCCCATTGTGATTGTTTTTGGTTTTGCTTAGAATCACCACACCTGCTGGGAATGAGAGGGGAGGGAATAATTTAACTGGGATTGCGATGGGAGGTTGTTTTACTTTTCCTTGCTTTCTGGGATTGGGACAAGAGGCTTTTTCTACAATGGGAGTGGTCTGGTAAAGATAAGAACATCAATGTCTGTGTCATCCTCTTATTTGGACAGCAGACAATATATATTTATATTTGAGTTCAATTGTTTAGATGTAAACAAGTGTAATGTTATTCTGACTGTAATGACAAGCGGGACCAACTGTTTATTTGGAGAATGAATTTACTGCTATTGTTGATCAGGAAATCAGTCCTCCCACATGACTTCTGCTGGTGTTTTGATTTCTATGCTTCTTTCCTTTCATTTTTTCCTGTTTTTGCTTTTTTTTTTTTTACATCCTTGACCTCTGCTTTTCTGCATCCGATGCCCCTCTCAGAGAAAATGAGATGAGTCTGAGGGAAGAGACTAGATGACACAAATGTTTAAGTTGACAGATTGTGTTTTAGAAAGCTGAGAGTTTGGTTGTGAGCTGAGGTTACTGTGATCCAATCCAATCCAATTTTATTTATAAAGCGCATTCACAAGGCATTACAACCAAACAAGGCGCTGTACACTAAAAATGTTACTTAATTAAACCGGCGTTATACAAACATGTCGAACACAGATAAAAGATAAAAAGGAAAAACAACAAAATTCCCAAAACTAACAGCTAAAAATCAATAAGACACAGGGAGAATAAAAATTAGAAAAAACATTTTAAAAAAGAACCTCAATAGTACGGAAGTGGATAATTGTGGAGTCCATTTTTAAACAGTGCAGATGTCAGTGAGGTTCATAATTATGTGGTATAAGCTATGTTGAAGTAGTGAGTTTTCAGGCGTGATTTAAAAATGCTAGCTGTTGGTGCTAGCCTCACTAGCAGTGGTAATGCGTTCCACAGCTTCGGTGCACAGACAGAGAAAGCCCTCTCTCCACGGCTTTTTAAACGTGCGTTCGGAACAGCTAGGAGGAGCTTATCTTCAGACCTGAGAGCACGCGGCGGGTTGTAGTAATGGACCAGTTCACACAGATATGGAGGAGCTTGATGGTTCAAGGATTTGTAAGTCAGAAGCATAATTTTGAAGTTTATCCTGAACTGCACGGGCAACCAGTGGAGAGATTTCAGAATTGGAGAAATGTGTTGTCTTCTGTCAGCTCCAGTCAGCAACCTAGCTGCTGAATTCTGGACCAGCTGAAGTCTAGAAAGAGCTGCTTTACTGATGCCATATAAGCAGGAGTTGGAGTAATCCAGCCTTGAGGTGATAAAAGTGTGGACCACCGATTTCAGAAGACCGGATGAAGATCGGCTTCAGGGCTGAGATGTTTGTTCTCTCAGCGCGGGGGCTCGTTCCGATGCTCGAACAGTAAAAAAATGCAAATGACGACTTTAGTTGTCATTGCCAGTGAATGAGTTAATAAACGTGCTGTGATAGGCCAGCCAAAACACTGGCTGGGACTGAGGAGGTTCCAAGAGAACGTTGCAAGACTATCATGCCAAGCACTTTTTTTGCTTCAACAAACGACGTGCTAGAGTCTAGACTAGGTCTCTACTGCCTCTATAAAAAATTCAAAATGAATAAAAATCATGCATCATTTTTTTTCCTTTATGATTATTATTATTATTATTTATTTATTTATTTTTTAATTTATTTATTGATTTTGCAGTGGCTGTTGTCAGAGTTTATTTGCCTAAAAAAAGCTGAAGCATCATCTTTTCTAGCTCTAGATTAAGACCACCATAAAAATCCAACTAAAATCCCTCAATCGGCCATAAGTATAATTTCCCTTTTTTCTTTTTGCAATATTCAGACTTTAGTTTAAAATAAATGTAAAAACCAAACAATTAAACGTCATCCTAAAAGACCTGCTGCGGGAAACTGGAGGTCCAAACAGAATCAGTAGAAACAAAAATGTTGTTCAAGGGCATCTATGTTTGGAAACAAATCTGCATAAAACATATTTTTGAGTGTGTACGGATGTCGCAGATAATAATAATAATGCACCTTTTTGCCTTTTTTTGTCTTCTGGGAACTTAAGGACTCTACACAGTACCTTAGCAGCAGTGTCTTAGCAGATGTCACAGTTCTAAGTTAATTTGAGAATATTTTATTTTTCAGAAACAACACAATCCTAAACTCCAAAGTTATTTCAGTTGCCATCAAGCCCTCTCACGTCTCTCTCTCAGCTCCTGTTGTGGTTGAGTTCTCCCACCTGTACAACGTCAGTAACAAATAACCTTCTTTAAAAACATAAAAGTCATTTCTAGTTCTGTGTTCACCATGTTGTGACTGTTTTATTTGTTTTTCTTTTAGGGAACCACTAACCACAGCTGTATTTCTTGGGACGAGAGTGACAGGTAACATCTATAACACTGGTCATCAGACCACCTGTGCATACAAATCCAAGTTGTGCTCTGTAGGAACTCAACCCAAGTTAAACATTTGACACTGTCGCAGCACCTCTGTTGTAAATGTAGGCTGAGATAATCACATCTATCTAGGATCTATAAAAATTACTCTTAGTAGTGGAGGTAAGGTTTAAACAGTAGACACTTTATTGCAACAAGAGTGTGTGTGTGTGTGTGTGTGTGTGTGTGTGTGTGTGTGTGTGTGTGTGTGTGTGTGTGTGTGTGTGTGTGTGTGTTGTGAAGTGCCTTTGGGGGCTGTAGAACCCTAGAAGGAATTAACCAAATGCAAGCCATTAACCTTTAACAACTAGAATCATTGACATCTCTGCTGTACCTCACAATGAACATATTAAGGCACCACAAACAGAAATGATGATAAATGAAATAAAACAATAAAAAAACACACAATATCACTTTGTTTGGTTAAGCCCAATCTTCAAATAATTAGAGTTCTGAAATGCATATGTGTGTGAGTACAATGTTTACGGAGCAATAAACAAGAATAGAACAAAACAGAATAGAATATACTTGTTTGATCACACAGTGAGGAAGTTTATTGGTTAAGGCAGCAAAATATAGTATGGATGAATACATAAAGGCAGTAGGCTAACATTGTAACATTCAGCAATTAAAAAAAAATTAAAATTGAGTTTCCAAGAACAAACAGCATAAAGGACACACATACAAATATGCATCTGGGTATTGCATATGTACAGAATACAGCACTGATGTTATTGTGTACCAGGATTATGCCAGTACCAGAGGTAAACACTCTTACTGCACAGGGGATGAATGATAAATGACTTGCACTTGTATTGCACCTTTCAGAGCCAGTAGACTCCAAAGCTCTGTACACTACAGTGTATCATTCATTCAGTCACATACTAATGAAAACGGTGTAGGGTTTGGTAAATTGAGTGCTTTAAGAGCTCAATATGTATTGCCTTTACTTATGACCAATAAGCTGTGATACTCTATCTGAATATAGAATATCAACTCTACTTGGTCTTGACTGTGTTTATCAGAAGATTCTAGGATTCTTTCTTCATTAAGGAACTGTACACATTTCGTTTTGCTTCAGGAAAGAGTCAGGTTTATAAAAGTAAGAATTTATTTTACAAACAATTAAAACATGACAAGTTAACTAACATTTACTGTGATGGATGGAACTAGATGTGATGCATGAACCTATGTGTGAATGTGGTGTTGATCAGAACTTCCTTATCTAGGAAAGCTGAGTTCTGGATGTAAAAGAATTTGGTTTGCGTTAAGCTATGAATTTGGTTGTTATCAAAACACGTCAGACGCAAACTGTCATGTCTACATACCGACTCGAAGACCCTCATGATAGATCCAGAATGTTGAAGTCCTCTGACTTCCAGGCACCGAGGTCCGTAGAAGAAACTGCGGCCCCACTAAACCGGTCTTAGAGTTGTCTCCAGGTCACAACAGATGGATGGAACCGCGCGTCTGGGACTCTTAAAGGGACTTTACGGAGTTTTGAAATGTTATGCTTGCGATTGCCCCCTCAGGCCAAAAGTGTAACTGCAGCTTCAACAGTAGGCTCGTGCACGAGGTGTGCATGCTGTATGTGCAGACTCCTGAACAAAAACAACAGCTGAGTCAGTCCCATACCTGTGTAATTTACAGGTTTGCCGGCATGACTTTGACGGAGGTAATAATTGTAATATAATATATTTAGACCAAATCAATTTGGACTGCATATTTTCCAGATTGTGATAGGTGTATGCATAGTGAAGTGAGTTGAGTGAGGAAGCCAAATAATACCGATATATGAATAAATTATGTATGATGGAGGAAAAAATACAAATACACTAAGTATGCATAAACGTTGGCCCTATTGTAATAATAAAATAATTCGGCGCACAGCGGCAAACATGCGCTGTGCGCCGGAGACCTGCATTTGGCTGCTGTGCAGCGGCTTGTATTTGGGTGCGACGTGTGTAGAAAACCATTTTTATTTGCTGGTGCGGCTTATATTGAGGTGTGCTCTATAGTCCGGACATAGGTACTCTGATGTGTAGACGCTAGACAAGCAGCCTATAAATGTTATGATATACGGAGCTCCCCCCCCCCCCCCCCCCCAGCTTGCTTTGGAAGTATCCACAACCCTTTCCCCGCATGTGTTTAGTAATAATTTCTTACCTTTCCAGCAAAAATGATGCCAGCTGCGGGTCTGTTTTCATACTGAGAGACTCTCTCAGCATTTTCCACTTCTCAAATGCGGGACCGATATTTATCCTCGTTCGTTGCCTTCGGCGATCACACTCGAGTTTTGCCTGTTTTCCTGCGCTGGAATACACTCTTCTTGGTTTATTTGTCTTGTTGGGGTCTGGGCTGGAGTTCCACTGGTGCTTGAAGCAGCTCTCTTCTTGTTCTTTGCTGAATCCATGCTACCAAAACCACCTCTCGCTCTGCCGCTAAGCTATAGCTAGTAAACAAACGCTGCGGGGATATGCCTGAGCGTGAACGCGCATGACATCATCGCGCATTACGCTGCCTCTGGAAGACTCTGGGGAAGCCTGCCTGCTCGACCCGAGCATGATCTTATTTTTGATTTTACAGGCCTGGAGAGACAATCACAGTAAAAATGCCAGGGCTCATTCTACAGGACCAGGGCATTACAGGAGAATGTATGAAGAAGAAATTTATTATTTCTTTACATGTTTTGGCTGTCAAACTTCCATAATGCCCCTTTAAGGAGTCTAAGCAATATCAGCTTGTTCTGCAGGAACTGTTGCGGTATCAGCTTCACAGGTGCAAAAAGGTTTTGACGACGTGTGAAAAGCTTTGATGGTTAAAGAGGTTTTGCTTCAGATCGCCGGTCTGAAGCTTTCTCTAGAACTGATGAATTGTCACGGCGTGTGGGCGAGGTGAGCAGAGGTGAGGCAAGGATCCACACCTGGGGAGGAAGACAGGCAGACAGGTGCGAACTCTTAACATTGGTTTATTAGACACACGCTGGACAATGAAACAATGGACCGACAAAAGACACAGAACAGAAGGGGCTTAAATACACGAGGGCAGGGAGCTAAGGTTATTGGGAAACGAGAGGCAGGTGGGAGCAATTAACGAGACACAAGGCTGAACCAGAACGGGGAGACAGGACAGGGCGTGACAGTACCCCCCACTCAAAGGGCGGATCCCAGGCGCCCACAGAAACAAGGAGCAGGGCAGGAGGAGGGGGACCCGGAGGGAGGGCCAAGAGGAACCGAGGGACAAACGGAGAGGAGGCAGGAACCAGCAGAGTCCGGGGGCCTGCGCCTGGGGCAGAGGAGGAGGCGACGGGCCCTTGGAGGCCTGCGTCTGCAGCAGAGGAGGAGGCAACGGGCCCTTGGAGGCCTGCGTCTGTGGCAGAGGAGGAGGCGATGGACCCTTGGAGGCCTGCGGCAGAGGAGGAGGCGACGAACCCTTGGAGGCCTGCGTCTGCGGCAGAGGAGGAGGCGACGGGTTCTTGGGGGCCTGCGTCTGTGGCAGTGAAGGCGGCGACGGGTTCTTGGGGGCCTGCGTCTGTGGCAGAGAAGGCGGCGACGATGGCCTCTTGGGGGCCCGCGTCTGTGGCAGAGGAGGCGGCGACGACGGGCTCTTGGGGGCCTGCGTTTACAGTAGAGGAGCTCTGCAGGCTGGACCGGGGACAAAGTCTCTGCAGGCTGGGCCAGTGACAAAGTCTCTGCAGGCTGGGCCGGTGACAAGTCTCTGCAGGCTGGGCCAGTGACAAAGTCTCTGCAGGCTGGGCCAGTGACAAAGTCTCTGCAGGCTGGACCGGGGGCAAAGTCTCTGCAGGCTGGACCGGGGGCAAAGTCTCTGCAGGCTGGACCGGGGACAAAGTCTCTGCAGGCTGGACCGGGGACAAAGTCTCTGCAGGCCGGACCGGGGACAAAGTCTCTGCAGGCTGGACCGGGGACAAAGTCTCTGCAGGCCGGACCGGGAACAAAGTCTCTGCAGGCTGGACCGGGGACAAAGTCTCTTGGATGGGCTGGATCGGAACCTTGTGGAAGGGCTGGACCAGATACGGTGCGACCTCCGGAACCACCACTGGAACCAGAGATGTCGGCCCAGAGGGGACGTCGGCCTCTGGACATGAGGGAGCGTCGACCTCTGGACACGAGAGAGTGTCGACCTCTGGAGTGGAGAGGGTGTCGACCTCTGGAGTGGAGAGAGCGCCGACCTCTGGAGTGGATAGAATGCCGACCTCTGGAGTGGAGAGGGCGTCGACCTCTGGAGTGGAGAAGGCGTGGACCTCTGGAGTGGAGAGAGCGCCGACCTCTGGAGTGGAGAGAGCGCCGACCTCTGGAGTGGAGAGGGCGTCGACCTCTAGACTGGATGAGGCGTCGACTTCAGAGGAGGCGTCGACTTCAGAGGAGGCGTCGACCCTTGGACTGGAAGAGGCGTCGATCCTTGGACTGGAAGAGGCGTCGACCCTTGGACAGGACGAGGCGTCGACCCTTGGACAGGACGAGGCGTCGACCCTTGGACAGGACGAGGCGTCGACTTCAGAACACGAGGAGGGGTCGACTTCAGAACACGAGGAGGGGTCGACTTCAGAACACGAGGAGGCATCGACTTCAGAACACGAGGAGGCGTCGACTTCAGAACACGAGGAGGCGTCGACTTCAGAACACGAGGAGGCGTCGACTTCAGAACACGAGGAGGCGTAGACTTCAGAACACGAGGAGGCGTCGACTTCAGAAAACGAAGAGGCGTCGACTTCAGAACACGAGGAGGCGTCGACTTCAGAACACGAGGAGGCGTAGACTTCAGAACACGAGGAGGCGTCGACTTCAGAAAACGAAGAGGCGTCGACTTCAGAACACGAAGAGGCATCGACTTCAGAACACGAAGAGACGTCGACTTCAGAACATGAAGAGGCGTCGACCACAGGACAGGGCGTCGACCACCATCGACTTCTGGTCCAGGGGCATCTGCTT